ATATTATCTGGTAATTATGAGACAGTCTTCATATTTCTTCAGTGGCCGTTGGCATGAATGTTGTAACTGCAGCAGGCACTGACACAGACACAAAGTCAGACTGACAAGAACGCACACGTTAGAAAAACAAGTGAGTGCAGGAGCTGAGTTTGGTGTTCCTGATCAAAGTTCATTAGCGAGTGAATCTTACTGCTCGAGGCCACTTCGAGGCATAACAATACACTTCAACACCACGTTCCCACACTTGCCTTCCCCACGCTGCAGCACTGGCATTTCAAAGGCGAAATATGAGGAAATATTTGATTATTATAGGAGTTTGATTGATTATATGAGAAACTGGCTTCACCCTGAGAAGCAGCTGCAGGGACATCCTGTTTCTATATTAATCGGCAAAGATAATATAAACACATACAGCACAAAAGTCACACGAGCCATTTCTGAGAAACGACCGACTCTGAAGGTCAGCACGTAAACTGTGAAGGGCCTGAAGTTCTTGAGATTAACTGTTGACATATTAATGTGTTGCTTCATGCTTCTGTCAGTGCGAGCTGTTGTTACCTGTGAGGAGCCGCTGCCTTGCAGGCTAACCTCGGGGAACAACTGACTTCAGTATTAAAACAAGCTGCAGCGTGACTGCCTCTGCAGCAGGAGCTCTGTCTCTGTAACAGCGGCTGGAACAGTCTCCTAAACGAGTCTCTTCTGTCTGTAGGATGATAAAGACCTGGTTCCAGAGTTCGTGGCCTCTGACGGGCTGACGTGCTTCATTAAAGTCGGGGCGGAGGCCGACCACAACTACCAGAACTACATCCTGAGAGGTGAGACTCCACTGACTCTCACTGAGGATTAAAGGGAGGCTGTGAAACCTTTGAATGTTTGCGTGTGCGCAGAGATGCTCAGAGGTCATTCACATGGTGAAAAAGCATTTGTAAATCTCAAAAAGGCTCCTCTAACTTGTTTAATTTGTTATGATTCATCGTGCCTGAGCTGCCACACGGCTGAACACTGATCTGTGAGAAGCCTGTCTGAAGCAGTGAACATGCCTGATGTGAAGGTTTGTGTGTTTAACTGTAGGACTGTTTAGTTTTTGGTCTGAGCACTAAACGCAGCTCATAATCCTGCAGGTGATCCACCTGCTCGGGCGTTTAGATCTACAGTGACACGGGAACATTAACACCAGCTTCAGTTTAACAGGAAAATGGATTTAGTTTAATTTAATATCAGAAGGTTATAGTAGACGAAATCGAATATTGGTTCAGTTGATGCAAAGTGTAGATGTGTGTTGTGTTTTTTAATGGTGAGATTTGCTGTAAAGCTTACTGAGGTTACTTTGAATTCCAGCATTTTGGATCAAGAAGCAACAAATGTGTAAATTATTGTGTCAGCTGCAGCACTTTCTGCCCGGCAGGCACAATTTCACCCAAATGACAGGAACACAAACAGTGGCAGCAGTGAAACTTGGCGCTTTCGCTGGGAACGTGCCGCGTGCTCGGATCGGCGCATGCTCTCGTGTTCGGTCAGAATGGAAACGGAGCTTCGGCTCCACAAGTCCAGCAAACCCACAGAAAGCTGAGTCAGCGCTGCAGATTATAGGCTCGTGTGCAGCTGCTGGAGCCTTCTGTGGAAACGCCAGCGCTCATCCGTCTGTCTGTGTGTCCTCAGCTCTCAGTCAGATCATGCTGTTTGTGGACGGCATGAACGGAGTGATCAACCACAACGAGACGGTGCAGTGGCTGTACACGCTGACGGC